CCCTCCCCGCCCCCAGCCCAGTCGCCTCCTTGGCAGGGTGGCGCTAAAGGCCCCCATGCACACCCACCCCTGACCATGGTGATGTCAATGGTGGGCCGCACACGAGGCAGCTGCCCCCACTTGTCAGGCCCTCTCCTCGGGGCATACGGGCTCGGTTAGGTGGCCGGGGGCCAGGCGGGGCGGCAGCAGTGGACACGTGGCCTCCTGGGAAGCCCCAGGCTTGGCCAGGCCCCCGAGGGCAGTGCCAGCACCAGGAGGGCAAGGACAGGGGCTGCCATCGCTGGAGGAGCCTGGGGGGAGGGAAGGGGGGGAGAGAGAGGGAAGGGGAAGGTGGAGGGGGGGATAGAAAGGAGAGAGAGAGGAGAGGGAGGGGAGGGGGAAACATGAGGGAGGGGAGGGGAGGAGGCATGGGGAGGGGGAGGCATGGGGGAGAGGAGAAGAGGAGGCGGAAGGGAAGGGATGGGGAAAAAGGAGGGAGGGGGAGGAAAGGAAGGGGTCTGAGAAGGAGACGCTCTGCCAGAGCCCCCAGCCCACGCAGCCCCAGGCTGTGTCCCGGTCTGGGGAGATGGAAGGGACCAGTGAGCTCCGTAGGGGTGTGCATGGTCTGCGCCCTTGAGGGGCCATGGTGGTTCAGGCCCAAGGCCCCGCCCTGCCTGCAGCCTCACTGCCTCTCGCCCAGTGGGATCTGGTGGAGCAGAGACCCCCAAGCCCAGCCTACCCTGGAGGGCTGGGGAGACCCCTCCTGCCCATTACCGTCGTCCCCGCGGGGTGCTCCTACTGCCGGCCGTCTCCCTGCCTCTACCCAGCACCCCTGAAAGAGCCCTTTCATGCCGCCCGGCGCCCGCTGCTTCCCCGGGGCCATCCAAGACCAACAGACGGGGCCAGCCTCAAAAGCCCAGCTGCTGGGCAGCGTCTGCAGGCCCCCTGGGTAACCCGCCTGCCCTCCGCCACCTGCAGAGGGGGTCTGCCGGGCTCTGCCCAGGGCCCAGGGTCCCTCCCCAGTGCTCAGGGCTGCCTCACGCCCAGGCCCCCGTGCCCAGAGCATGGGTCTGGGGGCCCGGGGTGTCTCTGGGGCAGGTGTGGCTGGGAATAGCACTGCCGCCTGGCAGCTCGCCTCCAGTCAGCGGAAACTGAGCCTGCTGCCCAATCTGGGGTGCAGCGACTTGGGAGAAGTGGGAAGGCAGAAGCCTCGGGGTGGGGGTCGGGTGCTGCTGGAGGTCAAGGGACACGGGTGGGGGCTGGTGCAGACCACAGCCACGTGCCTGTGCTGGTTCAGCCCCTCACCTTCCTGGTGAACACGTCCTCCCACCCAGGGGTACAGTTCCTCACTCCAGCCTGGCCTCTCCCCTCCATGTGGATGACAAAGGAGGGTCAACGGTGGGAGGGGAGGACCCCTTGCAGGACCTGGGACAGGAGACCAAAGGTGGGCCCACCGGTCACCACTGTGGGGGCTGTGCCTGCCAGAACCAGCCACCTCCCTGCCACCAGGTGATGACAGCCTATGCCAGGACACTGGCCCCAGCCTGCAGCCGTCTTGGCACAGATTCCAATTTACAGCCGTGTAGTGCCTGCTGCCTATTCGGGAGACGGCCCTGGCTGCCACTTCTCAGGCCCCCCCACAACCCCAGGACCAGGGTAGGACGGGGGACGGGGTGTTCTGTGACCACACGATCCTCTCGGGGCCCATGGTGAGGCATGGGGGGAGAGTGGCATGGCCGTCTCAGGTCCCCATAGGGCTCCAGGGGCCGGTGGAGCCTGCTGTCTGGCAGCTCTGGCCTGAGAGCCCCTAACCCTGGTGGTCACCAGGCTTCTGCTGGTTAGTCACATCTCCCGGTGGCAATAACAGCAAACCACCCCTAAATGTCCCTGAATTTTTGCAGCAGCTTAAGGGGGACCGGATGGACTCCTGGGGTTCACAGAGACAGACAGATGGACACTGGGGCTCTGCTACCACCTGGCTCTGAGCCTCAGTTTCCCCCCTGTGAGAGGGTGTCTATGGGCGCCTTGGGAGTGGCTGGGAGGAGAGGCCTCCTTGCTGTAACAGCCTGAAGCCCAAAGGAGGTAAAACATGCCCAGTGCTCAGAGCAACGCCCTGTTGAGACCCGGGAGGCCTGGGGCCAGGCATGGCCTCTGCAAGGGCAGAAAAAGGGAGCACTGCTGGCCAGCCGGGGTGGAGGTGCTGCTTCGCTGTCCTGCCCCCTGCCCACCTCCTGGGCAGCTAATGCCTCAGGGAGAGGCTGCCTCAGAGAATCCGCTGGGCCCCAGGGGCAAATCTCTCTGGGGACCCCCCGGCGGTCGAGTGGCCTGGGCGCACCCTCCCCTCTCAGGGTCAAGTACGAGGGGCTGGTGTTCCCAGCCCCCAGGGGCCATGGGGCGGTTATGAGAGCAAAGCACCCATCACCAGGGGCTGTGCCAGAGCCCCCCCACCCCACCCCGCCTGGTGCCAGTGAGCTCCCCGCCGGCCCCCTGCCTGAGCACTTAGCCCCCATCAGCTCACCACCCTCGGGCTGGGAGGCCCTGGGTGCACACAGGAGGCTGCGCACTCCACCAGGGTGGTAATGGAGGGTCGAGTGGCAGAGGCATGCAGGAGTGATTATCTCCCGACTCTTAATGGACACTTCCCTCTGAGAATCCTGTTGATGAGCTGCTGCCGCAGAGGGGGGTGAAGGCGGCCCTGGGAGCTCGTCGGAGTGGGGTTGGGCACGGCAGGGGTGCCGCACCGCCATCCCCTTCCAGGTCATGCGCAGCCCTCCTGCAGTCCCCACTGCTGTGCCTGATGCTGGGGTGGATGGTGCGCTTTTGCCGAGCCGTGGAGAGGGTGAGGGGTCGGGGTGGGAGCTGAGGCCTCCGCCCCCCCACCCCCACCCCATGACGCATGCCTTGGCTGGAGGGGGCTGGGTGCAGGAGAGAGGATTTGGAAAGGGCAGGGACCTGGACCAACAGCCTGGCTGCCCGTGGTGACAGAGGTCGGGGGTGGGGGGTGGCAGGGAGTTGGGTGAGGACGTTGTCCCCGAGTGGGTCCCGGGCCCTGGCGTCCTCGAGGCCATCATGGATGTGACAGTAACTGGCCCAAAGCCCCCAGGAGTCCTGACCCATCAGGAGGGAGACTCGGCCACAACGCTGTGTTCTTGATGCCTCTGCTCCTTGTCACCTGCTCCCTGTCACCTTTCAACAAAGGAGGGCTCCATTCTCGGGCCCGGGGTGACAGCTTTCAAGAAGAATGTTAATGACGTGCCTGCAGAAAGCAGGCTCCACAGCGCTGATTGTCTGCAGCTGCCTGCTGCCGCCTTCAGCGCAGCCACAGAAAGGACTGAAGCTCTGTCCCAAGTGCCCTGGGCCAGGAGGAGGGTGGGGGGCACCGCTGGGGTGGGGAGGGGCCCAGGGCTGGAGACAGGAGGGGCCAGCCCGTGTGCACGTGGTGAGCAGCCCCCTTGGGGCCTCTAGACCTGGGCTGCCCTGTCCAGGTGGTCACAGGGGCAGGGGACCAAAGGTTCCTCCCCTCCTCCTCCCCCTTCCTCCCCTCCTCCTCCCCCTTCTTCCCCTCCTCCTCCCCCTTCCTCCCCTCCTCCTCATCCTTTCCCTCCTCCTCTCCCCTCCCCCTCCTCCCCCTCCTCCCATCAGGGGAGAGGGGCCGCCTGGTGGATCCAGCAGTCCCGAGGAGAGTCCGGTGAGCAGAGGGGCTTGGTTGCAGCAATAAAGTGAGAGGCCAGGCATCCAGGCTGGAGAGGGGGGTCTGGGAGTGGCATTGTGCCTCTCCAGCAGAGGTTTCTGGGGCCAGGAGTCAGTGGTGATGGGAGAGGCCAAGGCATTGCAGGGCAGCTGGGGCAGCTGTCCAAAGGTGGGGTGGCCTCTCCGTCTGGCTCCATCCAGCATGTCCGGCTGGGACCCAACGGCCACCGGCACTGCATGGGAGGCACCCCTCCCTTGGCCCTCTCCCCTCAGCGCCTCCCCTCGGCCCCTTGGCCCCTCCCCTCAGCTCCCCCACCCCAGCAGTCATTTCTGCTCAGCATCCACTCCACAGCCCCTTCACTGGCCCCAAGCCACTCAGCACAGCTGCCCACCCCAGGGTATGGGCTCCATGCGTGGCCCACGTGGGTGGGTGGGCGGGAGTGGCAGAGGGGGGGCTTGCACCTCTCTACCCTCCGTGCTTGGTTGCCATAGGGGCAGCACGAGGATGGGGAGGGGAGACAAGGCCCGGACAAGAAGCCCGGTGGGCCTGGGTCTCCAGAGATGGGTCCCTACCCACTCACTCCCTGGGGCATGATCAGATCCTCTTCCTGGGTCTCATGCTGGGGATCTGAGGAAAGCACCATGTACCTCCAGCTGATATGCCCATCTGGGCTGTGGGGAGCCTGGGCACCCACGTCCCTGGCATTGAGAGCTGCCAGGCTAGGGAGGGGCACCCACCCTGGGGAACAGAGGCGGGGTGCTGTCGTGGGGGGTGCAGTGCTTTCTGTGTGGCCCAAGGCAGGGGACCGCAGTTGGGGGGCCCAGCCCCAACAATTCCCTGTAACTGTCAGATGTGCTCAGAATAGACGGGACTTGGAGTGGAGTGAGTGCCCTGTCCCCAGAGGGAGGCAAGCTTGGGAGTGCAGTGCAGGCAGGAGGGGGATGATGCAGGGATCCCTAGGGACTTCCCAAGGCCCTGACACTGCTGGGTGGGGAGACACAGGAGCCAGTGCTCACAGACACCTCGGCTCTGGGCTGGACGCCCTGTGAGTGGCCACAGGTGGGGCTGCACCGCAGGAGAGCACCGTCCTCACTTGGGCTTATCATGTGCTCTGAGGCACAGGGACACCTGGCCTCCCACAGGGGGGATGATGGGGTCCACAGGCAAAGCTGGAGATCCCAGCTGCACAGGGACTGAGTACCTGCCGAGGTAGGAGGTGTCCAGAGACCCCGCCTTGAACCGGCCTCCATGTGTAGAAAGCTAACATACTGTTTATTCAGGGTAGAGGAGATGAACTACAGGGCTGGTCCCTGCACGCTGCCCCGGCTGGTCACTGGTAGCCAGCCAGCCGGAGGACGGTGGGGTAGTGGGCGCGGTGGGTCATGCACTTCTGGCGGTCGATGAAGAGGCTGTTGGTCTTGACGGCGATGTCCTTCTCCAGGCTCATGCGCGTGTCTTCCAGGTTGTGCAGTGACTGCTCTGCTTCCAGAAGCTTCTCCTTGAGTGCCGTGAGGGACAGGTTCAGTTCCCCCACCTCACTCACCAGCCTGCGGTGGTGGAGCAGGGGAGGTGTGAGCTGGGGCTCAGGAGGGGGACAATGGGCACCCGGATGCCTGACATTCTGGGCTGGGAGGGGTGAGACTCAAGGTTCAAAGAGTGGGAGCTGAGAAGGGGTGCTCTTGGCCAAAATGCTCAACCAAAAAAGACTCCAAAAGCCCCAAAGGGAAGCCCACCAGAAGCGCGGGGGGAGACTGGGCTGGGGCCATGGTGCCACACGCGGCCTGAAAGCACGTGCTAGTGTGCTGGAACCCCTCAGGACCAGAGCATCAATTAAGAGTGTCACAGCTCTGCAGCCTGGACAGAGTATGAGCCTGTGTCTGCGGGTCTGCGTGGGAGCCATGTTCAACAGCGACACCTTGTGGTCATACCAAGCAACGGCAGTGGTAGGCTGACCAGCCTCTCAGTTCTTTCTCTTCATGAAGCTGGGAAGCCGGGCTGACTGACCCCTTTGAACCCAGTGAGGCCCCCCAGTTTCTTGAATAAACTGAGGGGAAGGGAAGGATGAGTGCTCAAGGGGGAGATACTTTTGTTTAGAAGGGCAACCGGGGACTCGATACATTAGGAAAATAAAAGGCAGAATCCCATCTATGCCCCAAGCTGTGAACATGGGTCACACCCATCACATCAGACATGTGAACGGCGTCCAGCGAGGCGGGGTGGACAGAACGGCCCCGCCCTGGCCTCTCCGCTCTGTGCCTTCAGGCGGCTGCCTCTTACCCCCGAGATCCCTCACTGGGAAGATGGGGACCCCTCCTGGGCCAGACCCCATGGGGTGCAGTGAGAACTTGTGGGTTGTGCCATCACATCCCTGGCACTCGGGGCCCTGACACTCTTAGCTCTCCCCGTCCCCCCCGGCCCCCTGTGCACAGTGTTCGGCTGGGCCAGGGTGGGAGCGTGTTTCTCTCCTGTGTGTATGAGGTATGCATGCATGGTGGCGCCGCCACTGTCTTCTCTCTAAATGTCCGCAGTCTGCGTGTGTCAGGGGGTTCCTGAGAGCCCCAGAGTGAGGGAGGCCAGGGAGGCGGCGATGGGTCCTCGCGGTCAGATGTGCCCACCCCTGGACTGCCTGGAGGCAGTGGCCGCAGAGGCCAGAGCACCTGAACTGGGCAGTGTCGCGGCACAGCTCCACGTTGGGCCGGTGTGAGCGCTGGTAGAGGCAGGTCTGAGCCACCTTCAGGGGCGCCTCCTTGTCCTTGATGGCCTGCTTCAGGGTTGCGACGTTGTGCTCCTGGTCTGTGATCTCCTGCAGAGTCTGGGTCAGGATCGAGCCTGTGAGCCCCGCAGCCCAGGGCGGGGGGCTGGCGTTTCCCCACCCGGGTCCCAGCATGGGGATGTGTGGGCAGCCCCTCCCTCCTTCCCAGGCTGGAAGACCCTGAGCCCTGGGGCTGTGTCCAGCAGTCAGCCCTGCCCACTGGCCCAAAAGAGGCATGGAGGCAGGGAGAGTGGCAAGGCCATCTCAGGCCCCCACAGAGCTCCAGGGGCCAGTGGAGCCTGCTGTGCGGCAGCTCTGGCCTGAGAGCCCCTAATCCTGGTGGTCACCAGGCTCCTGCTGGTTAGTCACATCTCCCGGTGGCAATAACAGCAAACCACCCCTAAATGTCCCCGAGGTTTTGCAGCAGTTTAAGGAGGGCCAGGGAGGTGTGGGGGCGGGTCTAGATCATGACCACGGGAAGTGATCAGCTGTGCAGCCGGGGTCCAAGGAGCCTGGTCTCTGCGGTTGTCGGGGCCCCACCCAGACCGTGGGCGGCCTGGGCGTGGTTTAGGTGGTGTGGGCGTGGCCTGACCGTGGACGGGCGGGGTTTGTCGTGATCTGGCGGGGGACTGGGCGGGGACTGGGCGGGGCGGCCCCACCTTGCGCAGGTGATCGTTCAGCTTGTGGCGTGCGTCCTCCAGCTCCTCGCAGCGACGCCCGAAGGCCAGGTTCACGGCATCGCACTGCAGCCGCAGGTCCTCGGACGTGTCCCGCAGGATGCAGTCGATGAGCTGCCGCAGGTTGGCTGAGGCCAGGCGCTCGCGCTCGGCGCGGTACAGGTTGTCCTGGCTGAACTTGGCCCACGTCTCGGGCGTGGAAGCGCTGCGGGGACGGGGGCGGCCGACGCCGCGGTCGGTGGGGGGCGCCTACCAACGGCTCCAGGTCCGCTGGGACCTCCCCGCGCCCCTGCAGCCTCGGCGACCCCGTGCCCCGTCGCGCCCTCGGATCCCCCAAGCACCCAGGGCCCCCGCGCCCCTGTGCCTCCTGCGCTTCCACGGATCCCCCGCCCTGGCGAGCCCGTGCCCCTGTGCACACTCTGCGTCCGCCGCGGCACGCCGCGCTCCTGTGACCCCCGCGAGCCCCCGTACAAACCATCCCTCTCGCTACCCAGCGCCCCCAAGACTTCCCTGGGCCACCCCGACGGGTTGCCCCAGTACACACCGCACTGGGCTATTCCCGTGTCCCCACCCGCGCCGAACCGCGTCCTCTGTGTCCCCAGCGACCCTGCGCCCCACACAGGCTCCCTCTGCAGATACCCCCACGTACCCCCTGCACACACCACGCCCCCATGCACCACTTGCAGACGCCCCCAACAAGCCCCACCAGGCGCCCGCCGGGTGCTGCCGCGGTGGGCGGTGACCGCGCGCCCTCTGCCGGCCAATCACGGAACTGCATACCAGCCGCTCCCCCGCCCCGCGTGATGCTCCCTCCCTTGGGCAGAGTTCCTGTTCGCCTCCCTGTCCCCAGAACTGCACAAGGGACCTGGGCAGTGAGGGCCTTGGGGCCAGTGGGGCTGCAGGAGGACGGCCCAGCAGAGCACACTCCGCCCAGGGAGGGAGAGCGGGCGGACCGTGATCCTGGTGGCGCACGGCTGAGCCAGGGAGGCTGTGCCCAGGTGGGCGCAGGTCCCCTTCCCGACGCGGACCTGGGCTTACCTCTCTTCCAGCCGGACCGAGTGCGGGTGGAACTGCACCTCGGTGCTCTGGTTGTGGTAGCGGGAGCAGGTCTCGTCGATGTTGTAAGCCTCAACCTTGTCAGACCAGTCCATTTCACAAGTCTCTTTGTGCTCCCTGTTCAGCCTGGGGGGCCGGGGCAGGACTGCGTCTGTGCTGTGCGGGGACGAGGCACCCCATCCTGGGGCCACTGGGCACCCCATCCGGGGACCACTGGGCACCCCATCCTGGAGCCACTGAGCATCCCATCCAGGACCACAGGGCACCCCATCTGCAGACGACTGGGCACCCCCCATCCGGGGACCACTGGGCACCCCATCCCGGGACCACTGGGAACCCCATCCCGGGGCCACTGGGCACCCCATCCCGGGACCACTGGGCACCCCCCATCTTGTGGCCACTGGGCACCCCATCCTGGGGCCACTGGGACCCTTGATGCTACAGGCCTGGCCCCAATTCTCAGCTTCAGGGTGGCTCAGGGCACAACCTCAGTTGCCCAGTGCAGGACCCACAGCCTCTGGGGCCCCTGCCTGGTCAGCAGCATCTAGGAACAGCTGCCCAGGCCTCTGGTGTATGCCTAGCCTGGCCCCTGGACACTCAGGCCTCATAGGCCTGGCTGGAACCTGCCACCAGCCTGCTCAGTGCCCTCCCCTCCCAGCCCTGTGCCCCGGGCTGTGTGGCTTGGGGCAACTCCCCTGCCCTCTCTCAGCCCCAGGGCCAGCCAGTGGGCCAGGAATCATCCTGAGGGCAGCCTGGGGGCGGGCAGGCAGACACCCACTGGATCTGCTTCACGGCTTGCATGATGGTCCTTTTCAGGAGCCCCTGAATGTTCCGGATGAGCTCGGCCTCCTGCAGGGGGAGAGGACCCACCTGAGCTGCAGGCCCTGCCGGGCTTGGCTAAGCAGCCTCCCTGGTGGCCGAGCTGGCACGGCCCTGGTCAGCTCCTCAAACACTGGGGCAACAGGGCTCTGGGGGCACACAGGATTGGGTGGGCCAGGCACCCACCTTGTCCTTTTTCCTGGAAAACAGGGACATACACCCGTCTCTTTCTCACTGGGTTAATTCTGGGTTTTTAAATGATTTCTGAGGCACTGTAAGAGGGTCATTTTTTCCAGAGGCTTCTTCTAGGGGCTGCCAAGACGGTCCATCCAGAGGTGGTTCCCACATGCCTGGGACTCAGCCCCCCCCCCCATGGCTCTGGGGGTCCTCACTGTGGCTCGTCCTGTGAGCTGAGGGACATCTGCCCAGCCATTGGCCTCCGACCCCTGGGGGACCAGATGTCCCCCTGGGCCAGACCCTCAGGGCTTCTTGCCAGGAAAGGCTTTCCCATCCCGAGGATCTGAGGGGAAACCCGTGTTTCTCGCACAGTCACGGCGAGTTTTCTGTGTTGGACCCTTCTCCCTGGTGAAGTTTCTCCCTGTCAAGCACTAAATGCCGCTTGTGTGTGGGCCTAGCTCTGCTCTCCCGCTCTGTGGCTCTGCCTTCAGGTCCTGCTTCGTATGTAGTGTTTGAATTACTGGTCGGCGGTGGGTGGGGTGTGGGGTGAAGAGGGGCCTGGAGGTCCAGGCAGAGGGGTACACGGAGCCTGAAGCCACCATGAGGGTGCTGGGTGCAATCGGGCAGCACTGAGGGGTGAATGGGAGGGGGAGGACGACACGCCCCCCTCTGCCCCCTGCCCTGGCAGGTGCCTGCGCCCCGGGGTCTGCGTGCGCAGCACCTTCAGCAGCTCCATCTCCACGTAGTCGCGCACGAGGTCGGGGTGCTGGCGGCGCTCACGGCACTGCAGGTTGTCAGTAGCGATGGAGTAGGGCAGCGCCGTGGCGTCGAGGGCGCGCTCCAGCCGCAGCTTCTGTGCCAGCAGCAGGTCAGTCTCGGCCAGCAGCTCCTCGATCTCACGCTGCAGCTCCGACTTCCAGCCGTGGGTGTCCTGCAGCCGCTCGCCCACCCTGCGCGTGCTGTCCTCCTGCGTGCGCTGCGCCAGCGCCTCGGTCTCGGCCGCCAGCTGTTGGCTCACGTGGCGCTGCCGCTCCGACTGGTCGCGGTCGGCAAAGGCCTGGTGGTAGCGTGCATAGCAGTTCTGGAACCACTCGTCCACCAGGTACTTGGCGGTGCGGAAGCCGGCGGTGGCCAGGCCCGCCGACGTGTAAGCGCCGGTGTTGCGCGCCACGTCGTACTCCTTGCGCGGCAGCTCGGACACGTGCACGGTCTGCGGGGCTGGCTCCTGGGTCACGAGCACGTCCGTCTGCGCCATGGTGCGGCCGCCGGTCCCCCAGGCTCAGCCCGGCGGAGAGGGAGAGAGGGGACCCAGGCGGTCAGCCAGGCAGTGCGACCTGTTCTGCCCAGAAGAAGACGCCGCTCCCGGTCGCCCCGGCAACGCCGTTCACTGGACGCTTTCTGGTTGCTGGGCAACGGGGATGTCCCGCCCCCCCACAGCCGCCTTCTTAAAGGGCCAGGAGCCCGGACCACACATGGAAAACCTCAGCCAAGGGGTCATACCCCCTTGGAGGACCCTCGGGCCAGGCGGAGCCATCCCCCAGGGTCTCCCCTTTTGTGTCTTCAGTGGTAACATTTGGGGACACGGGGTGGGGGTTGGGGTTGTCCTGCTGCCTACCACCGTCTCTTCTTCATTCATTTGTTCACGCGTTCATTCGTTCCTGGGATTGTTCTCCCGGCCTCGTCCTGCTCTTGACTCCGGCTCAGCTGTGGGCAGGACAGACGAGGGCCCTGCCCCCACCCTCGCCCGTCCGGGTGGGCCCCAGCGGTGACAATGTTATTTTCTAGACCAGCAGCCCTAGACTGGGCCCTTGCTCGGCCCCGTGTCTCCCCAGCGCCAGCGCATCATCACAGTGTGGTCCTGAGGCTGCAGCGAGGCCACTGCTCTGTCCTTGCTGGTGTCCACTCTGGAGAGGAGAGGGGAGGGCGGGTGACGAGTCAGAGCCGACGGCAGCGCCTGCCTGGGAAGGACGGGGCCTCCTTTGGCTGCAGCCTCCTCACCCGACACCCCAGAGCAGCTGGGGTCCTTCGGCCCCTGCCCTGCCGGCCTCATTCGGAGGCTTCCCCTGAGGCTCCTGGGCCGCCGACATCTCCTCTTCTCCTTGCATGTCCCTAGTGCCAGGTCTCCGGGCACAGCGGGGAGGATCTACTGTTTTAATGGAAAGTTAAAATCGGCCTCAGGGTTGTCCGAAGTCAGACCCTCAAATCTGCCTCAGTAGGGAGGCAGGTCCTGTCCTGGGAACGATGCCCCGGGGCTACTCAGTCCCGGACTGTGAAGCTCAGGCCGATGGCAGGAGGCACATCCAGTCCCTGGGCACCGCTTGACGCCCAGGCATCCTGGGGGTCCGGTAGAACCCTGAGCGCCAGAGGCAATGATCAACTGGGCCAGCAGAGGGCACCATTGACCGCAAAATGCCTGAGGCACCTGCTCCTGGGATTCCCTCCGCACTCGGTGCGCTTGGATGGACCACTGGTCCGGGTGTCCACCGCCCCGCGCGCCTTGGCTCCTGGGGTTCCTCCCACCTGCCGACCCGGGGCCGACCGCACCTGCAGCCCTCAGAAGGAAATGCAAAGCCCACAGCACGAGTCCCGAGGTTCACCCCTCCACCTCCTCTCCTGCCACTGTCCTAAACCCTGCTCCGGCCACACCAGCCCCAAGCTCCTCCTCAGACACCAAGCCTGGTCCTGACCCCAGGAACCCCAGACCCAGGGGACCTGCTGGAACACACGGGGTAAGGAGGAGGACACTGGGGGCCTTCACCGGGTTTAAGCTCGGCAACCTGGGGCTACTCTGACCTTGCGGCCTCGGCCTGTGCTTGCCATGTGGGTGCTGGGGTGCTGATGTTCTGGGGTGCTGGTGTGTGTGGTGGGGTGGTGAGGGGCTGATGTTCTGGGGTACTGGTGTTTGTGATGGAGTACCAGGGTGCTGGGGTACATAGTGGGGTAGGCCAGCAGCTGGGTTCTGCCCACGTGGGGCCCTCTGTCTAATTAGGGGGAGGCTGAGGCTCAACGTAGACTCACGTTATGGCTGAGGCAGAGGCTGTTCCGGGAAGCTTTCCAAGACCTGGGGCTGGGCCCTCCCACCCCAGCCAGTGCATCGACACACCAAAAGGCTTCGGGGGCCCTGATGGGGTGCAGACACCCAAGAGGAGCCCCAGGGTTGGGAGCCCTGCCCTTGTAGACCTTGTGGCAGGGGAGACCCCCACTCTGCACCTCCATTTCCCTGTACGCTTTGGGGATAACACCAGTCACCATGCAGGCTGCTGTAAGCCCGTGGCGCAGGGCTGGGAGTGACTGGTGACCTCTTCCTGGCCCCAAGCAGCCCCTTCCCCACCTCAAAGGCCCTGGGTGCCACACCTCCCAGGTTGCAGCAGGGCCAAGGTGAGCGCGTGGAGGGGGGCTGTGGCAGAGCGGCCAGCAGCCGGCACACAGGGCTTATTGAATTTATTTGTATCCAGATTGCATTTGCAAGGGGAAAATTGAGTCTCGCCACTTGAGGTTCTGCAGAAAGGTCCTCCCCCTACACCATTCTCTCCAGCAGGCTCCGAGGTCCAGAACCCGTGGTGGGGAGGGGTCACCCCCAACACTCCCCCCGACAGCTTGTGCATGCTCCCTTCCCCCAGCACAGCTCTGCACACCCCCGCACCTTGAATCCTGGGGCCGCCATAACCGAATGCCGCTGACTGGGGACTTCCAACTGCGGCAACCCGTCCTCCCCTGGTCCTGGAGGTCGGAACGCCGAAATCAAGTGTCCGCAGGCTGGGTTCCTTCTGGAGGCTCGAGGGGAGGCTCTGTTCCTCGTCTCTCCAGCTCCTGGTGGCCGGAGTGTTACTGGGCTAGTGGCTGCACCGCCCCGTCTCTGCTCCACGGTCACGTGGTGTCTTTGCCGTGTCTGTGACCCCCTCTTCTTGTAGGGACACTGGTCACTGGATTTAGGCCCGTCCTAATAGCCTTGTCTTAACTCAAGGTCACCTGCAAAGACCCTGTGTCCAACCCAGGTCACATTCACAGGTTACAACCTGAACATGCCTTTTTGGGGGGGCTCAGTTCACCCCAGTACACCCCTTAGTCATGCTTTCCCTCCCCCAGGGTGCCCCTCCCTCTGGGTCTGGAGAGTGGGCCCCCCTCTTGGGTCCCCTGGCCTGGGAGGGTCCTGTCTTGGGCCTGCAGCTCTGGCCCCTCACCTCGGCTCCAAGTCCCCATCCCACGGCACCCCGGCCCTGGGCCTGCCCAGGGGCAGCTGCAGAGATTGACCCCACCTCCGCCAAGGACACCCGGATGCCGGCCGTGCTTGCTGACCTCGGCCCTCTGTCCTGACTCGACACTGGCTCCCCAGGGACCCTGACCCAGCCCACAGGTCGTGAGGCCTAGGGCTTACCCCCCAGAAATGGGGGTCATGGTACTGGACCTACCATACCCACGAGGGGCTGGGGTACAGGGGTCACTGCGAGATGGCAGTCCCTCACGCTGCATCACAGTCTCCCTGGGGGCCACCCAGGCAGGAGGGGCCGGCCTAGCCCCCTAGAGGCCCGTGGCCCCCTCCTTCATCCTTCGTACCACGAGGTCACCAGACAGGAAGAAGGGAACCTGTCACCTCCGCCCAGCTTCACAGGAGGTCCAGGTGGTGTGACAGCCCAAGGTCACACAGCTGGGGTTGGAGGGAGCGGAGACACGGCCATCTGGCTTCCCTGGCCCCTGGGGCTGCCCCCTCCCCCACCTCCACAGGAATGACAACTCAAGGAGCCTCGGAGCCGGCTGCCTGCCGGGTGCCAGCGGTGGCTTGTTCCCACTCTGTCTCCCCAGGAATGCTTTAATAACAAGAAGACAAGAAGCGGCCTGCAGCCCCGAGCCCATCGTGGGCCCCACAGCCAGTGCTGATGCCGGGGGTGGGTGGGGTGGAAATGAGCTGTCCTTCCTGGCCCTCCAGGAGCCCCCGCTTCACAGGATGGGGGCTGGCCAGGGGCGGGAGTGTGGGCCAAAGGAGGATGACCCAAGAGGGCTTCCTGGAGGAAGGGTCCCCTGCCCAGCCTTGAAGGATGGGCGGTGGGGACTGGGGCATACTGCCAAGGCTGTGAGGGGTGGGGGAGTCCTGCAAAAGCCCAGCCCCCTCCCTGGGGAGGACACAGCCAGACGGACAAGGAGAAGAGAGTGTCTGAGCGGCCCAGTCAAGGTGGGCATGGTGCCACATCTCTCAGCCTGGCAGCCCAGTGGAGGGAGGCTGACAGAGACTACGGCACCCTCCGCTGAGTCCCTGTCTGTCCTCCTGGGCAGGGGCGGAATGTGAGGACTCCATACCGAGGATGCTGCCCATCTACCCTCTCCCAGGGAGCCGGGGCTCAGGCAGTGGGGCTCTGGGCAGGGCATGGTGCCTCGGTTTACCTGCTGGAAGGTAGGCGGCCGCGTGAGGCCATCTCGGAGGTGTATCCATGTCCAGGACTCAGCAGTGGTCAGTGTCACCCAGAACGTCCCCACCTGCGTGGCCTGAGTGGGCAGCAGGTCTGAATCCAGTACCTGAGGCTGTGGAGCCGCCATGTGACTGCTCTGTGCTTCTGTTTCCCCATCTGGAGAACAGAGGTGAGGCCAGGCCCTCCCTCAGGGAGGACTGGGCAAGGCCGGGTGTGTGCATAGCTCTCAGTGAAGCTCCTACACAGCTGCGCCTACCGTCTGACCCCACTGGAGCGGCCTGACCCCTCTGGCCTCGCTCCCACCTGGAGGGCACCTTGGTCTGCATCAGCACCCAGAATGAGGCCCTTTCCCTGGCAAAGTCCCGGGCACCGGAGTGGAGTGGGCCTGCGACAGGTCGGAGGGGAGGCCGGGAGGGTCTGAGGTGAGGTGGGCGTTCCCGGCAGGCCCCCGGCGGGCCCCCACCCAGAGAGGGCAGACTAAAGGAGGTGACTGTTCTTAGTAGCAGGTCCAGGAGCCAGCCCTGTCCCTGTGACCTTCACCAAACCCTCAGCCCCGCCCTGCAGAGCCAGCTCCAGACACATCTGAGCTAAATGGGTTTTAAGAAGCTATAAAACTCCAAAATACAATGAAATCACTGTGAATCCTGCTGCAGGAGGCAGATAGACAACCAATGCTGGAAGGGCGGGAGGAGGCGGGGGGGGGACGACCCACGCTGGAAGGATGGGAAGAAGCATCTGAGCCAAGACCATGAGCTGCAGAGACCCACATGGTTTCCAAAAGGGACTTCAGCCCGGTGACACGGACCAGGACAGACACAAAAGTGTGCGTGAGGGACAAGCCTGGATGGGACCA